TTTAGCACCCGTCAATTGTTTTAGCTACTTAAACATCATAACAATTAAAAGAAATATAGAAGATTGCACCTATATATTTAAATCAGTCATTTAATGTAAACTTTTTAGTAAATGGTAGTAGAATGCCAAACTAAGTTAACTGAATTATCAAGAACTAAACTGCTTATGTACATAAAACATACTATATTTCTATAGGCAGTACTGAGAATAAATTATCATTGCCAATAAATGATTATGGATAACCAGGTTAAGCTGAATTTATATAAAGAACAATATACAACTATTTGTATGACTAGGAGGGAACCTTTCTAGATCTTACTGTATAACATTTACCCCAGTGGTTTTCCAATGAGCATACATCAGAATCACCTGGAGGGCTTGTTAAAACACAGAATGCTAGGTCCCATGCAAGAGTTTCTGATTCAATATGTCTTTGACAGGGCCCAAGATTTGCATTTCTAACTAGTTCCCAAGTGATACGGATGTTGGCTGGTGGGCTGAGGACCATACTTTGAAAACCACTGGTTTATACTGTTTCTGTAGAAAACGCTATACTACAAGGTTCTTATAAACATGACACAAAATATACTGGAAGAGACCTGGTTTTAATTAAGTCTCAAACATATAGATTAGCAAGCTGAACATTTAATATTTCTAAAATGATTTGCTGAAGTGTAATCATTTCCTCATGTAGTCAATTACATTTCAAAGTCTTAAGTACTACTATATAGTCATTTTAGAAAATATTCACATAATACTTATACCAAGCTGGCTATCCAAAATAAAAAGGGACATAAAGAGTTAAGATGTATTCATTAAGAAGGAATCATCACTATACAGCATTCTTGACTTCTTTGGAATGATTAAAGTGCATAATGTCTTTTGGGTATTAAGAATATTGCATAAAGGTTTGCAGTCTTCAGAGCCACTAAGTCAAAGAAATACTCACACGGGGAAAGCAGCTCTATCCCAAAACTACTGTTCTCCTGTCCTCTCGTTAGGCACCACCACTGCAATAAGGAGCTAGAACAGAGGCAAAATTAACGAAAACCAGAGGGACACTCAATTCAACTGTATTCTGTTGAAAGGAATCATTACCTTAGTTCTAGAGGGATTTCAATATAACTTCTTTATTTCCTTTGACACAATTTTTCATAAAGATTATGAAGGTTCTGACAGGAAAAAGGTGCACTATGATGAATTACATGGCCTTATCTAGTTAGAAAAGTTGATGTGACCAGCTTTTACCTAAACTATGTGTAGTGATTTATTTTCATCCATCTGAGTAAGATCAGAGAAGATGCTTTAAATACCTCCTTCCTGAAATTTAACTACAATCATTTGTGTACATGGAGTCTCAAAGATAATAAAATTTTCATTAGCATTCAGGTAAGACCTATCATTAGTTGATCAAGATGAAGATAAATTTAGGTAATTTATATAAAGCTAAAACAGTATAATTCTATAATTTATTACTTATCATCCCTCAAAGGAACAATTCTAGCAATGTATCTTCTCTGTTACTCTTAGGCCAAAGGGAGAAATTTATGAAGTTGTTTTCTACAGTAATCGAAAAATGGAGAAAGAGTGACTAAATGGAAAAATTGAAGTTGGGGCTATGAAATCATTTGTGTATTTGTTTTTGGCAATAGTGAAAAATGAAAATACAAGAAAGGGGCACTATCATGGTAAAAAGGCACTTTTTCCATAAGCATTTGATTTAGATATAAAATATTAATTTAAAAAAATTTCCTGAAAGTGGAGTAAAAATAGAATTTTATTAATAAATGAGGCTAGAATGGCATGGAAAAAAATGGGATTAAAGAAGTAATTAGAGCACTGAGACAATTCACAAGTGACACTATGTTACTCTGATATTTACTGCATTCTGCATTATGAACATTATGTCCATGATTTAGTTTCAGTGACACAAATAAGCAGAGGAGAAAACCTCTTTTTAATATGTTATGAGATTCTACTAACCTAACTTACTAGTGCATGAACTCTGAGCTATTTTTCTAATAAAGCTGCCAAACTATATAGTTTCTGTCTCCACGGAGTCCCTCCTTATAACCAAAGCTGTGCAGATACAACACGGCTGCACTGAGTAGGGATGAAGCCTGTGGTCATGAAGCAGAGTAAAGCTAACAGGCCTCATATAATTTTTAATTAATTAGAAAAAAAATCAACTAGGAAACAGGTATTAGAATTAGAATTAATTGTTCAAAAGGATTATTATCTTAGTTCTAGATGGGTTCAGATATAACTTCTCTCTCATTTCCTTTGACATTATTTTTCCTAGGCAGATTAACTGAAGTTGTGATGGACAAGAAATGCACTATAATGAAATTCTCAACTACAGCATATACAATATTACCAAAAAAGAAAAGGAAGGAAGATCTTTCACTAATTCTGCTTTTATAATAAAGCCCTTCAAAAACCTGTTCTAGGGAGACTGGTAAAAACAGATATGCACTAAATAACAGCACAATACTCTAATTACAAAGGTAACATGATAAAGCTCTGAAGCAAATATGACTTCTACTTATCTTCTCCCATGTTGGTGTGGATATATAATGGAATGACAATAAGGAACAACACACACACATGCATGTGCGCGCGCGCACACACACACACACACACACACACACACAGATAAGCTCCAAGCATTAAGGTGAGCTGCTAAAAGCAAGAGCAGTTGAATGTAACAATATAAAGGAATAAAAAAGGTTCATAGTTTATTTAGGTCCTTCTGCCATAAATAAATTTAATAAATTGTTGCTTCCAAGGCCTTTGCTAGCTCTTGGAATCTCTCCCATTTGTAACAGTAATCTGGAAATTGTATTATTAGCACAAGTATCAACCACTGACCACTGAGCTAACTCTTCAGTAAGAAGAGAAATGCTTTTTGAAACCAAATATTCAGAATGCTGTACTTAACATTGACCTTTAGGGGTAAGGAACATTAAACAATGTTAAAAAAAATTATCATTATTGAATAAGAATATGGTAGCATAGCACAGCCCTTGTATAAATAACCACAAAATTTATGAAAATAAAAATAGGGTTTTCTGCCTCCATCCAATCAAGCCACTATACAGTTCAGGTGTATGTTCTGTTCTAAACTTAGATACTATTAAACAGAAAATTGGTCCCTGGTGACTTGGCATTGGCAATCAGCATTTTACAATGATAAGCCTCTTGCTAAACAACAGAACAGAAGTCAGCACACAAGCCAGTCTTCTTGCCACCACTTCATCCACAGAGCAGTGTTAACAAACATTTTAATTGGAACTTGGTGAACAAATAGACTTCCTGAGTCTCTGTGTAATCTCTTAGAAAAAAAGTCAGAAAACTCAGAAATAAACTTACAGTATTTTATTTCTACTTCTTATTTTATACCTGCTGGGTAAGCTAACTCTTTATAACTCTGCAATTAGAGTTTTACGTTTTAAAACTGAAGCACTGGATTGTGTGGCTGTCCTTCTTATAACCTGAACTATATTGGGTAATTTTTCCTGACGGGGTGGGGAGAGATGATATATTGAGGAAAATGCTTTTGGTTCAGAGAATTTATAAAGTAGCTCTGGATATTACAAGATGGGGAAAATGTTATTAAAATTACAAACATGGGATTTTTTTTTTAGTGTCATTATAAATAAAAGGCATAGAATACAGAAATCCAATTAATAACAATAACAATAAAATATTAAATATATAGTGAGCAAGGACTGAATGGCTCATTCTTGTGAAACACCATTTGACATAACTGCCTAGATGGGTTTCCTTACTCTTAACATTTTGCTGAGTGAAAGATCCAGCAAACACACAGTAAGCTGCCTTTAGCCCACTAATAACATCAAGGAACTGCCTGATGGAATGGCCACAGATGAACAGGTCATATGTTTCAAAAGATACTTAAATACTCAATAAAGACATAACAAACCCCCCCCCCCCACTGTTATCAGACGCCACGTTGTGGTAGAACATCAGACAAACTCACAAATTTAACCACAAAAATGTGTGGCAAAAAAAGAATAGTTTATATATATGTATATATATAAATTTCTATATTTATGCCAATGTACTCACTCAGTACAAATAGCAAAATAGTATACCATTTCCTAAATACAAAATATAGCTTTCCAAAAAAATGAAACACACATTAGATATAAACCATCCAAAACTTGAACGATTGAAAACTGTATTCAAAAGTAAATGACCCAGAGTAGGTCTCTTTCTGAAAAGTTCCCTTCATATCGGCAAGAAGCCTGTACTACTGAAAACGTAATTCAATGCCTCTCAATCAGAGAGAGAAAGAAAGAAAGGGTTGGGGGTGGAGGAAAGAATATATAAGAACAAAGAGAAAAAACAAATTAGAAGAGCACATTCAAAGAACTAAGGAAGACCACAAAAAGGGGGGAAAAATCTGGCTGTATAAACAAAACCAACACCACAATTCCACAAAGGTCAACTAAATGTATAGGATAGAAAAAAATTAAAAACAAACAGAAAAGTAGCCTTCAACAAACAATTAACAGGCTATTTTTTTGTACACTTAAAAAAATAAATGAAATGGACATGAATACCAAAACATCTTATCTACATATAGAAGCCACACACAATTTGGCCTTAAACTGTATTAACAGCTTTCTACATGCCAAAAGGGAAAAAAGACATAAGCATGTGTCCAGACAACAGGTTGTAGTGAGAAGAGAAGTGGGCATCCCATGGGTGGCAAGAACACCCAGAACTGTATAACTAATGCTACAACTGCAAATTCTGGAGTGTGTAATTTTGCTCTCTATAGATGTAACACAAGTTAATTCTTCATTTTAAGTCAATGATATGACCCTGTAAAGCCCAAGGCTTGTGGGAACCATCAGATAAGTGACCACTTCAAACCGTAAAGCACTGAGGTGACAAGTGAATTACACTCACTGCAGTTCAGGGAGAAGTGATGTTTCAAGAAATTTTAGTTTGCCTTTTTATTTTTTTTTAATTAAAATGTACACTGTTTCCTATTAGAGGGAAAATTTGAAGACTTCAGAACAGCACCGTTCATGGAAAAAAAATGCATTGTTTGTTTCTCAGGAATCAGCTCCCCTCATTCCTGAAAGGGTAACCCCCTGCCCCACCTGTGCTGCAGGAGTTGCTGGGTTACCCCACACCAAAGTGGCCTTTTCCTTTAAGTTGTTACAGGGTCACAAAGCTAACAGTATATTACTAATTGTCTAAAAAAAAGTGAAGAAGAGGGGGAGAAGAATATAAATGAATATAAAAAGGGAACATCGGTCCACGACTGGGATAAAAAAAAAGCAGACTCAAATTGCTATGTCAGTTTTAACTGCTGTAGGAGGATATCAGAACATAATTTACCACACATTATCCCCTTCATTTTTTGATAGAGCAAGATAATTATTATTCTATGCACAGTTATGGCTGAACCCTTTAAGAGAAACACAGAGAATTAACAACTCTCTGAAAAAATCAATAGCATTCGGTTTGTGTGTTGTCTGCCTTTGTGATAAAGAAGCCTCTTATCTGTGTAGAGCTCTTAATACAGCTTACTTATCAGAATGTTACCCCTTCAGTTTCTCCGTAAAAGCTGAAAAAATATTCCTTCACTTTGGCCAATAGCTGTGCTTTTTATATTGAAAAATCACAGCCTTAGTTTTCGTTACTATTTGAACTTTCCTTTTTTAAAAGCCATTACTTGACTAAAACAATGCAGGAAATAAAATATGAAAAATGAAAAAAGAATGAAAGTAAACATGACATTATGAATTACTTTCTAATAGCAATAATAACTGAGCAGTCCAGCTTTTGGATTTAAACTGTACTTTTAAAGAAACAGTGCCTAGGAAAATAGCAACAATTAATTCTGTCAGCTGGAAACTTAAATAGATTCTCAGTCATCACTGTTATTAGGAATATAAAATATGAAGACGTTACCAACGGTGGCTAATCACTGCAACAGGCAGCACTGATGTGCTCTTTTGCAGTAAGAGTAAAATCTACCCATTTACTCAATCACAGTTTTTCATACTTTGTTTTGTTTTTAAAGTAACAGTTCAAAAATCCTCATGGAATCACATGATCTCAGGACATCTTGGAATCAGAATTTTCTTCATGGAATTTCTAAAAAAGAAGGAGAAGTTGAATATAACTCACTAGGGAGTGAAATCATTTAGAAATTTCCCATTACCCAATGGGATGTCTATTGGGTAATGGGACATTACCCAATGTCCCCAAAGTTGGATGTCCCCAAAGTATATTATAGTACTATAAATGATACTCCATTATATTTATACTTCCACAGACTTTTCTAACTCAGTCTGTATTTCTTGAGGAAGGGAGAAATGAGATGTAATTATATCCAATATATAGTACATTCGTTAGATATTCTGTCATTCCACAGCAAAGAAACTTAGCACCAGAAGGATAGCCTAGTACTAACAATACAACTACGAGCTATCATTCAGGGTAACTTATGCAGATCAAAAAAAGTGCCATCTTGGGACCTGGGTAGCTCAGTTGGTTAAGCCTCTGCCTTCGGCTCAGGTCATGATCTTGGAGCCCTACATCGGGCTCTCTGCTCAGCGGGGAGCCTGCTTCCCCCTCTCTGCTTGCCTCTCTGCCTACTTGTGATTTCTCTATCGAATAAATAAAAATTTTTTTAAAAAAGTGCCATCTAGGGGCGCGTGGGTGGCTCAGTGGGTTAAGCTGCTGCCTTCAGCTTGGGTCGTGATCTCAGAGTCCTGGGATCGAGCCCTGCATCGGGCTCTCTGCTCAGCAGGGAG